TATACAACAGCAGACATTTTCATATAAGAAACTTTTTGTGGCATGTTCAATGACAGCCGATCAGTGTGGAACAACAGAACGTATTTCTCGGTATGGACTGAATATTTTATCAGACAGGATTGAAATGAATGCAAGGCATTATTGACAGCTAATGAAATGCGTTCAGTTTCAGTTCCGTTAGCACTACTGCTTAATGGTTTCGCTGGGTGATGAAACAACAGTGAAAAATGAAAGGAACTGCTAAGGGTGACTCGGATGGAACAGAGACGAAAAAGAGGAAATAGAACCTCGAATGTGTAACAGATCAAAATTTGTGGGTAGATTAAGTTCAAAATTGACGTCATTCAAGGTTGTTCAATTAAATGACACTTCGCTGTCGAACAATTGGGATGGTTTGGACATGAGAATTAAACGTTTGCTAAGAAATCACTTGTGACTAATTAGTAACTTGTTCCTCCTTATTTTAGTGGATCCTTTCACGCAATGATTCGCCAAATAATTTCAAGAAATCTCAAAATCTCATTCGCTGGAATTTATCATTATGCAGATCTATATCTATTCAATACCAGTGGAAAGGAAAAACCGCTTTTTCTATTCCTTAACGGAAACATGTTTCACTATCTTACGTCAGTGTAACGGAAGCGGTCCATTACTCGACGAGTATTCACTGAAGTGATCAGTAACAATTATTTATGGAAGTAGGCGTACAAAGGACAGTCAGTACCACTCATCTTCACAGGAACAAGCTCCAACTACGAAAAAAAAAAGAAACGCTAAAAGATTTTCAAACATGACACGAGACCAGCGAAGACACTCTCGATTCGTGATCTCTTTAGTNAGTTTTTAGTTATTTGCGTCAAAATTAGCATATCATGGAAATGTGCTTGATACTTTTGCACTGTTGTTTTATTCGTTTCATCATAATCCTTTACTATCATCATCGGCATCAACTCGACAGCTGAATCATACACTTTTACCATTCACCATTGACAAATCATAATATGCTTACAAACTATTGTGACTGTCAATATCAGCAGTTTTCAGGCACAAAATGCATGATGGCTGGAATGAGATCTTGAGAATTTTTGACTGCACTCATCAAAAAATGTATTTCGTATTCTGGATTCTGCTTGAAGCAGATGTCATAACAATGTAACGGGCTCCATAATAATGCAGTGAAACATCTGCTCGCAGCACAAAACAAATTATTTTCAGCCACAATTTCAGTTCTATTGCTCTACAGTGTTTTCTTAAATAGGACCGTTCAGATACAGTGCCGCCTAGCACTGTTTCTCCGGATGAGATGATCGCTACTTCCCTTTTCAATAGAATATTGTGATTAATTTCTTTTCGTCGCACTATCAGCTCCTCACATAATGATCTCCGTTGTACGAACGTCAATCTACTGGTTGGGACGGAATTCGCCACCACTTTGCAGTTTTTCACTGTCGGAATCTTGATTACCATTACTGTTATTATCATTAATATTATTATCAATATTACATGTTTCATCACCATTACTACTAATTCCATCTGAATAGAACATTCCACCTCATCCAGTCAGTGTTCAACGCTAACGTCACAGTACTGGTGACTTAAGATGATATCG